TCTTACTTTCCTGAGGGACTAGCTGAGGCAGTTCCTTACAGTTGGTTTCAAAACAGACATTTTCATCTCCCTTAAAGCACTTTCAAGCTAATGGTTTTATCAAAGATCTGACCCAAAGTTTTGTCTGTTAGAGAAGAAAATATATGGAGAGAATGTAGCATTCAATTCAATTCACTTTGAACACAAGAACATCTACATGGGCTGAGGACAGGTTTGGTTTATTTTAAACAGGCAAATGGTTTGATCATTTGTACTCTTCTACCTTTGGCAAATAAATCTTAATTCATTAATTTAGCTCTCCTGTCTAGTAACATCTCTGGGTAGCTGACGTGAACTAAGCTTCATCCAAGAAAGATTTTGATAGCAGCAGGGATTCTGAATGCAGGACCAGCCTCACAAGTGGGATGTCTTCTGCTGGCTAAAGCTTGAAGACAAATTATCAGCAATCAGGGAACAGAAGATAATTACCAAGCAAAGATTGGTCTATAGCCCTGCCTGACTGAATGGCTGAAGCTTCTTCATGGCTGGACAGACCTCAAATGGATAGGTAGGTGATAGGTGTGTGTGAGAGAGGGGGGGAGGCAGAGGGAGGGGGAGAGAGAGATTCTGGAACTGCAGATGTGTTAACTAGCTGAAAACGCTGACTGAAGGCTTGGAGGCAGCCAGAGAGGTGGAGACTGGAGGTCCATCCCAGTCAGGAGAGCAATGAAGGGGGTACTATTTATGCCACCTGGCTTGAAATAAAGCAGAGCACAGATGTCTTCCCAACCAAAAGAGTTGCTTCCTGGAACCAGGTAATTCTAATATATTAGAATTGAAATGTCTTATTACCAAATATTTTTATGAATCCAGCAATTGTGACTTGTTCACCAGCTGGAGGACATGTAGAATGTATTGATTCTACAATCAATTGTCTGAGAAGGAACCTCTACAAGGAAAGGAGATGTCATTTCTCACTGTCATGTAGCATAAGGGACTAGCAACAAATACCTAGAAATGAATCTCAACCCAAGAAAAAGAGCAAATTGTTTCTCACAAAGGAACCACTAAGGTTTAATGCTGACTGGGCGTCGACTACCATTTCCCCATTGTTTCAGGGTCTCAAGGCAAGCTCAAATTCCCACTCCAGGGGAGACTGCAGCCAGCGCAGACAACAAACTAATGGACGGTACCCGTCGCCAACAAGGTTGTGTCGAATCTGCGGACCGAACTTGACAGAGATTTGGGACACAGAGTCGAATTTGGGGCACGCTAAACGACAGTATTCCCCGTCTGAACCTCCGTTCTCGAAGCAGCTTGATGCTTGTACCCCGACAAGGAGTGCCGCGCTTTTAGCTTCTTTGGCGCTCCCGTAGGTCCCCCGGAAGGCGCATCTCCGTTCAGTCCGGGTTGCTGCCTGCTCGCAAAGGCCCTCCCAGGCTGCTTCAGCTCCGCTTGCTCTCACTGGAGCTCGCCAGGAAGAGCCCGTGGCCCCCTAGGGAAAGAGGAAGAAAGGAGCGCCGTTCTCTGCCTCTCCCGTTTGTCTCCAGGTGGCGTGCCATGCCACCGCCCAGACTCCTCGGTTCGTTCCTTGCAAAGCCGGCGGGGACGGAAATCCGAGCGCTGCCTTCGCCGGGAGAACCTTGAACGCCACAACTCTGAACATTGGAAAGGTTGGGAAAACCCCGGCGAGGCCTGTTTCCATCCCGACGCCTCCTTCACTCTTTTTCCGCCCGAAGGAGGCCTCTTGGGGAGTTCTCCCCATCAGTCTTCTGCTCTAAACATTCCCTCCATTCGCGGACTGGGCTCGCAGGCACCTTTCCCGGGGCGTGTTGCGTCTGAATCGATTGAAAGGTAGTTTAGTTTTGGTTTGCAGTCCAGGTTTGTCATGTGACGCCAGTACAGGAAAGGAGATCTCGCGGCGGTCAGTCGCGGCATCTTCTGTCCCGATGCCCGCGAGGCCCTCCTGCTCTGCTCTCACAACCAAACTAGGGGACGAGCAGCTGTCAGCAAAAAGGGCCCCTCCCGCCTCCAGGCCGAGCCGCCGCGGAGCAGAAAGAGGTGCCTTCGCGCTCTTCCCGCCAACTCGCTTGCCGCCTCTCCTCTGAGCAGCTGGGCTGAAATTGCTTTTCCTTGTTTGCGCCTTACCGGTTGGCCGCGTTTTCTGGGCGGGTCCGCGGCGAAGTTCCACGGGCTGAGACTCAGACTGTTGTTCGGCAGTGAGAGGCCCCAGGGCTCCCAGAGCGCTTTCCGTCCCCCTAGACCTGGCGGACGCACCCCCAGCCCCCTGCGCCAAGCCGCTTTCCCTCCGCTCGCCACCGGGCTGCCCGTTGCCGCCCAGCTCAGGGACAAACAGAAGTTGGTGGAGCTGTGAAGGCCCGTTCCTTGCCCTAACTCCATCGGGATTCGACGGCTCTTTCCCCCGGCACAGGCTCGTGAGACGCCCGCCTCCCTAAGCCCCGGCAGAAGTGGCGTTGGAGTCGGACTGGGGCTGCACGCGCCCTTTGTCTCCTCCGCCGGGGAGACCGGGCTCTTAGCTGCGGGCACCCTTCCTGTGGCGCAATGAGCAGGACGATGCTGTCACCTGGGCACCGATGGAAAGAGTGGGGACTTGACTCCGGGGGGGCGAATACCGGGACTTCCCGGTTCAGCTCTTTCCTCCTTGCCAGATCCAGACCCGCCATAATTCAGTGAGTTCTCAGGGAGCCTCGCGGGCGAAGCAGAGGGAACTCCCGGCTACAGGAAAAGGACTTGCTCCCAATGGTCAAGGAACAAGAGAGGAAAGACGTTTCATAATTTGCATGCAATTTCCCCAGTGCAGGGGAATTTAGAAGTTGCAGAAATTTCACTCGGGGATTCAAAATTCACACGGCGTTTCAAGGAACACTCGATTTGAAGATATTGCTGATTCCACGGGAGTTGTGACTTGTGTATTAAAACCATTGCATACTTTCAATGGAATAAACATACATTCATAGAAATTAGAAAATATCTCGGCCTATTTATTCTGAGGAATGTGTTTTAACACACAGGGTGGCACATCTGAGTCGTTTTTTCCTTAAAGGAAAACGCAGGAGCAGCGTTTTCATCCCCAAGCAAACCCCAGACTCTAGTCTCCTAGGAGCAGCGCGCTTCAGAAATGTGAGGATTTGTCCATCTGTCCCACTTCTTTACTCATTATTTGTAAATTCCGAGAGAGGGTGTGTGTGTGTGTGTTAAACTTCTGTTAACTCCTAGTTGCCCAGATCCCTTGGATCTCATTGAATCCCCACCTTTCTATTTGGAGAACTGATATTATAGTCTAGTCCGTATGTACACACATACAGGCCACCTGTTCATTTCACTCTACAACCTTGAAACATGCAGCAAATGTGTGATAATGATGTGTCCATAATGATAAATATTGGATTCTATTAGCCACACTCGCCGAGGCACATCATTTTAATTTTGTTCCGAATTTTTTCAATGTTTTGAATAAAATTTATTTATTCGTTCACAATTTATACACAAAGCACTTGCCCTGAGAATATTTTTTGAATAAATAAATTGACAAACTTGTCCTGCATAAAGTGCTGAGGAATCAGATATGAGAAGCGTGGGCACCAGTCTGGTAAAGGACATGGCAGAGTTTTTTTCTGGAAAAGTTTAAGTTTTCTGCTGCAATCAAAACCTTGCATATAATTGATTCGAACTGACAAAAATATGAAACTTCGCCTAGTTCTGTTTTGAGAAACTTTCAAAATGCATTTTCTAGGTTGAGAAGAAAACCTAGATTGACCTTGATTCTCTCTTCGAGTTTCAGTCTTACAAATTCTCAAGTATCAAAAGACAAGCTCTAGCAACATCATCACATTAGATAACAAAATCTTTGCTATCTTTGAATGTATTTCAGATGCAGAATAAACAGTAGAAATATAAGCTCTTTTTAATTTCATTCTAGGCAAAGAAGATGCACTCACAATTTCAGCATTTTGATTAAAGAAAAAATAACGAAGCAGTAGTCATTATACATTCTCGAATTATTCTGTTTACAACAATGTGACATCACAGCAGCCAGTTCTTTAGATGGTGTTGGGCCTTCATAGGTATCAAGTTTTTCCGAAGAACTTAGGAAATCGTAATTTATCGGTTTGGTATGTATGGGTCCAAGCCTGTGGCCTTTTGCAATTAACAAATGGAAATTTGGTCAGTGTTCAGATTTTCTAATACTGTCCCAGATTTTTTGATATGGCAACTACTGATTGATACAGATTGATGTTTTTAATTATTATTTATTTTATTCATTAAACATGAAACTCAGTCAACTGAACATTCAAAAATGCATCACAAATACCATTGACTGGTGCTAATGGTTGATACGGGTTGCTGCCAGCATCCTAGGTATCAACCAAGTACCTTCTTAAGATGTATGATGTTCCAAATAGTGCATCATCATCATTATTATTACCATTAACCAAAAACAATTCCATTCGTATTGGTCTCTTGTGCGACTCTTGTGCGAGGATGAAGTTGACGCCACCGCCTCAAAGGCTTGGTCAGAAAATGTCTCTGATCCAGCAACTGCTTTACCTGTCGGTTGCCCCAGCTGGGGTTTGAGTTTAACTATCCTAGAAAGCCCGAAGATATATCCCGCTGACTCGGGAGAGGCGTAAAAACGGAGACGGGGTGCCCTCAAAGAATTTCCCTTCCTTCCCTGCCAGAAGCTCTTTCTCAGGCAGGGAAACCCTTGGCACGGGAAAGGGTTAAGGCGCGCGCTCCAGAGTCGGAGTCTCCCGCGGGCCGGAAAAGTAGCGCAGCCAATGAACGCGCCGCCCGGGACCAGCCCCACCCCCGAGGAAAGGCCGGCCCTGGCTCGGCTCTGGAGCTCCACCGCTGGACTGACAGCTGGGCGGGCTGCAAAAGGCGGCCGAAAGCCAGCGAGCACGCAGAGGCGCGGTGTGGGTCGGAGTCGGGAGCTGCCTGGCCAGAGGAGCGTCTCAGCGGGTTCGGCGACGGCTGGGCTCTTTATGGGAACAGCGCGCAACGGGCCCGGGGGCGCAGAGGGCAGCGTCCAACTGAAGGTAGACATCCCGCTGCTGCCCGAGGCGCCAGCCGAGCAGCCGCCCCAGCCATGGCCCGGCGCAATGCTAGCCTGGCCCCGACGCCTTTTTCCATCCAAGCCCTCCTCACCAAGAAGGAAGTGGGCGCCGTGCGAGTCGTAGCTGCCGCCCGTCCCTGCCCGCAGATGCTCCTGCCCGGTCCCGAGGGTACGTCCGCCTGTTGCTGGCGTCTCTTTGACCCGGAGGCCACTACTCTGGGCCCCGTGCTTCAGCCGCCGAAGCCGCCAACACCCCAGGAGCAGCAGCGTTTTGACCCCGCGGCTGCCCGGTCACCCCTCTGGGACTCGGACTCAGTCCTGAGCGAGGAGCATGACGGCGACAGGGAGGACGACGACGAGCAGGAACCTGGCAGCAGAGAGGGTCACGTGCCCGCTGACTCCCGAAGACCCCGAGAGAGGCTGCACAGTCAGGGCAGAGCCCAATCCCATGCGGGAAGAATCAGCACCGAGCAAGGCCACATTCCTCAGTCCCCGGAAAGCTGGCCCCCGGGCCGAGGCTCGGGGCCGCCGACAACAGGTGAGCCGGGTCCTTTCGGAGCGATCAAGGGAGGACTGTGGAGCGGGACGATGCCGGTGGGAGACAGAGCCAGGTAGGGGCCGAAGTCGTGCTCCTGCTCATCCGGAGATCTCGACGGCGCAAAGCTGTGATATGGGAGAGTAGAGGGCGCTTCTCTCTTACAGAGAACGGACGACCCCGCGCTGCCTTCCCGGAATCCTCCGAGAACGAAGCGTTCTGGCCAGTGGGTCGCCGCTAGAAGGCCACCTTTCGAGTGGCAACGGCGTCACCTTCGGCCAGGGCTGGAGCCTCGCCCTGCTCCCAGTTCTGGGTTCAAAAGGCAGCTTTTGCTGGGCCTGGTGGAAGAAACAACTGCAAAGCCATTCTGGCCCCTAGTCGTTGTTGCTTTCCTATCCACGTCTCCCTTCGGGAGGAACCCATTCTAATCAAGAAAGGGCAGCCGGGAAACGGGTTGCGGAAGAGGATGGCCGCCCTCCCAGCTCTTCGGCTGGACCTGAGAAGCGGCCGAAAAGGGTGCAAACAGGGCGAGACTCCAGGCCAGCAGGGGAGCCCGGATCGCTTAACCCGCTCGAAGCATGTTGCTAATTGCACCCTCATCGCCGCTCTCGTGGGACCCCATACAGTTCCGAGTTCTGGCTGCCTGCCGTGACTGCGGAGCCCCGAAAACTCCTCTCCGACGCCGTGTTGTGCGAGCCGCCTTCCAATGGACAAAGGCCTTCTCGCTGAGCTCGGGAAAGACAGCTCAAACATAAGAGAGGATGTTTTTCTTGCAGGAAATGGATCGCGTGAAGCTTACTTACTAGAGGCAAAGAAGGGCCCCGTCCTCCTCCCAGTCCCAGGCAGAGTCCGTTTCCCCCGCTTCTCTCGAGTCGCCAGCCTCGCAGGGGCAAACGGAGCCGAGGAGCTTGTCCTCCTCCAGACTAGCGAGGCCCAATGGATCCCGGGACGGCTCCAATAAACCCGCCGGGCCTGAAGTGGATCCCGGGGCGGTTTCAGTAAGCCGCCGGGCCAGAAGTTTAGGAGAATCCCAGCGTGCGGGAGGTGGGGAGTAAGAGGGTGCCTATTGCTGGATGGCGTCTCCCTGGCAGTTTTTCCGCTTGGGCTGAGCCTGGCGGAGCAGCAAAGATTTACGTGGGGCGGGAGGAAGAGACGTGTCGTTTGCCTTCTTCGACTTTTCTAGGCTGCAGCGAAGAGTTTCGTTTCTGCCCGCCGCTCCATTTGGAGAACCTGACAGAGGGGAACCAAGGATGCGCCACCAGGGAAGCCCAGCATGTACAAGGGCTCGAACGGATAAGTTTTCTACCCCTAGGAATCCGAAGACCAGCACGCAAAGTTGAGCTGCGTCTCTTCTCACCTTTGTTGGCCTTCCCGCACACCAGAAGGGTCTGACCTTTGGACAAAGCCTGCTTCGGTCCGCCTGTCGAAAGCAAGCCAGGTTCACTGGTGGAAGTGACGCGCCTTACCGGTTCCGTGCAAATGAACCTGGGACAAGAATACTTAGAAGGGTGGTTTGTAGCTTACTTTCTACAGCTCCTGCCTCTGGAGGCTCGAGTGCCGCTCGGCTGAGATCCTCTGAGCCTGGGGTGAGATTTTGAAGCAAAAAGATGCCTGGGAACTGGGAAGTTCGGGATCTAGTTTAAAACCCGTTGGATTTAATTTACGAACTGTGGCTTATTGGAAAATGGCGGGACAGACTGCAGCTTTGTGGCTCCGCTAACAGAGGATTCATTCCTGCAGCATTTGCGAGGAGAGTTTGACTGATGGAAAATTAAGAAATGTCAAGTTTCGAATTGTGGCGAAGGCTCTTCTTTTCGTGGCTCCTTAGTGGCGCTTCGCTCTCCCCTTCCCCACCCCTTATCTGGATAGGCTGGAGCTCTGATTTAACAGAGGGGTTGTGGCGCTCCTTCCTTGGTACGGTCTCCCCTCAGCCCCACAGCAGGCCTGCTCACACAGGCAGGCCATATGAGGAAGGATAAAGGCCGCCTTGAGAGCAGCAGCTGTCCCTGCAGTCCAGAGCAAATGTTGGCTGGATCAAACACAGTGCTTCTTCCCAATTTCGAAGGCGGTGTCTCCAAGTCTTTCTTGGGCTCATTCCCTTTCAGGGCAACTCGTGGGCACCCCTCTCAGCCAAAGTGCAACCTTCTGCGCACCCCTCTCCTCCTTTACCAAAAAGGAGAGGAAGCAAAAGGAAGAGTTTGAAGAGCTCAGACCTGGCCTTGTGTTTACCCTGAGACAGATAAAATTCCATCCCATGCTGGTCTCTTTCCCGTTCAACCTTCTTTGTTTTACACGTGTAATTCATGTAACTGTTGGCCGCTGCTTTTGAAGGGCTTAGATATGCGTGTGACTGCCTGGGAGAAGCCCAAGAAAAATAGTGAAGGCTCTGAAGCCCAGTGGGACATCCGTCAAAAAGCCCTAGGACAGTAGAGAAGTAATGACAACTACCGGCATCAGGGCCTTGCTTAGATTCGGCGCCTCCACCTCGAAGGAGGCTTGCCTTTAGGGACAGGAGAACTGTAGGCCGAATGCTGCTTCAGGATCGGTCAGAATGGGAAGCCCCTCCGATTGCAGGCCAAGTCTCTCTGCTTCCAGTGGAGAAACCGAGGTGGAGGGAAAGCCGGGAGGCGGGCGGGTGGCTGAAGGGGCGCCCCCAAATTCCGACGCCTCCTGACTGTCTGTCTTCTTTTCCCCCCTCAGGAGGCGTCAGCCACCCTGAAGAGGAGGACGAGGAGGAGGACGAAGCCAAACACGGCGACAGGGGCTCCAAAGCCCCCTCCGAGGAGGACGAGGCGATGTCGGCGGGCGTCCCGGCCCCGGTGACAGCCTCGACGGCGTCCCAGAAACCGCGCAAAAAGCGCTCGCGGGCGGCCTTTTCCCACGCGCAGGTCTTCGAGCTGGAGAGGCGCTTCAACCACCAGCGCTACCTCTCTGGGCCGGAGCGCGCCGATTTGGCTGCCTCGCTCAAGCTCACGGAGACGCAGGTGAAAATCTGGTTCCAGAACCGGCGCTACAAGACGAAGCGGCGCCAGCTGGCCGCGGACCTCCTGTCCGCCGCGCCGGCGGCCAAGAAAGTGGCGGTCAAAGTGCTAGTCCGTGATGATCAGAGGCAGTATCACCCGAACGAGATGGTCCGGCCGCCTTCCCTCTTCTCCTTCCAGCCCTCTTACTATTACCCTTATTACTGCCTGCCGGGTTGGGCCCTTTCGGCCTGTGCCGCCGCCGGCGGCGGGGGCATCAAATGAGGCTCGGGTCCCGGCCGCTCCAGAGCAAAAAGGGAGGGAGGGTAGGGAGACGAGAAGCAAGGAAGGGAGGCAAGGAAGGGAGGCAAGGAAGGCAGGGAAGAGCAGTGGGAGAAAGCTCGGGAGCCGATCTGTTCTTCCGGCAGCTTTTGCTCTTCTGGCGGTGCCTCTACCGTCCCCCTTTCTTTATTCAAAACTGTCCAAACGCCGCCGGAGCAGAGTCAATCCCCTCCTGCCGGCCTCGCTGAACAATCGAGTATTTTTCGGGCAACCAAGCTGGCCGTTCTCCTACTCTAGCGCCTGGGAGGCAATCGGAAAGTGCCCGAACAAGCTTGCTCAGTCTGATCAAACAGACCACCTTTCCGTCCTCTCTAACGTGGCTGTATAGGAGAGTTTCCCCGTAGCTTCTGGGCCTGTGATCTGACTTTCTTGCAGTTATGGGGCCCAGTTTGGGAAACAATATGATTCTAGCACTTTTTAGTTGTATTAAAATCGTTGCGATTATAATTATTTTTATATTTAGTATGAATTTAATACTCGGGCCTTTGAAGGGAAAAAGAAACAGTTATGGTGGGAATGTTGAGGCCATTCGGTGCCTTTTTTCCCTTCTCCCATTTCGCAGTAAATGCCCTCCTTTTTTAGGTGGAGAGTTGCAAACAACCAGGACAATTTACTTCCACTGAATTGTGAATATTTGTCAGTCCATCCCTTCCTTGTACTGCCCCCATAATTTATAAAAATCAGTTTAACTTTTGGCAATTGCTTTGTTTCTTAATTCTAAAACTGCGCTTCCGCCAGAAAAACTTACGTTTCAGGCCGCGGCCATGGGACTACTTGATCCCTCGCTGGCCGCCTCACTCTTACGGGGGTTCCTTCTCTTCTCATCCAAATATCAAGGGGTCTTTGTTATAAAAATAAATGGGCCCATTGCAGGGCACCGGGCAAACCTACTTCAGTTTCCCTGACTGTTGACTGCGATCCGAAGGTTATGTCTACCCCGAGAGGCTTGGAGGCTTGAATTTAAATCTGAACCCAGTAACTGGATTGTCAACCCAATTTAAAGAGGGCTCATAGTTAAAAGTCTTCAACAACCACCCATTCTCTCAGCAGCTTCCTTTTCCAGCCAAAGATTTATTCTCGTTTTGTACTGATGTTTATTGTAACAAAATCAAAATAAGGGGTCTGTTTTTATTTCTGATGAAATAAGTAGACAAGAGTAAACGGGAGGGAGGCAAAGTAGCAAACGGAAAAACAGCAGTTTGGCACTTGCTGGAGGAATGGTGATTCTTCTGAAGAAAAGATAAGAGAAGTTTAGACACTGTTGGAAGAAACACATTCACAAATCCAGAAAAATAAGAAATAGTGAATGGAGAACAAGTCCAAGCAACTTCTTAGGAAGTCTGGGAACCTCTTGGTACTGTAGTTGGCAAGTGAAAATGATGGATTAAACAGCCTCTCTGCCCACAAATTGAGGTGTGTTATAGGCTGCACTGTATCAAAAGTGGGAGAGGAAGGCAAAGTGACAAACTAAGCCATGTGGGAGGATATAGCACCTGTGAGAATAGTATGAAACCCAGTGGCTGCCTTGATTTTCTTTCTAGAAAGCTTCTGGAACACCTACTTTAGCTGCCTGGAAGGCTTTGAACAGCTCAGGACTCATAGGGTTGAGAATTTTTACTCCTTAAGTCACCAGGACCACCAGACCAAACTTGGCTCCAGTTTTTCACTTAGACTTAGAGTAGGAGGAAAAGGTCTAGGGCCTACAAGAGTAGCCAGGGAATCCTGCTTTTGAGCACAACTAAATCCAAAGAAATGAATCTGGATGCAGGAAGTGAATAAGGCAAATGGCTATATTTACACAAGATTCTGAATTTAGTTGGGGCTGAAGGAACTGGATTTCCTGCTACCCTTATGGCCCTATGGGTGGATCATCTGAGGGTCTGGCTAAAGATGGGGTTTGAATGTATTGTGTGTCCTCTGTACACTCCCAAATTTTAGGGTCTTCTGAAGGGAGCAAAGGCTTTGGAGAGTTGTTGTGTCAAGATATTATCATCACAATCCTGATAGGTGGAGGCTGAAGTGGGGAGAACCTACTTTCTTCTCTTAGTGCAAATTGGAAGTTTCTGAAATCCTTGCATAGGTAGCCAGCCTTCTTCCTCCCGTTTGTAGATTTCATTTTTTGATTAATTGTTCTTTCCATTGTCACTCTCAGGAAGACTAACATTTCATGCAGCTAGCATGGGAATTCTTTAACCCCGAAAGGTGCATTTGGAATGGGCAAGGTAGGAAGAAGCACTTTTCCTGACCGACCACCGCTTTAACTAGGGGCAAAATACCAACTCACTCCCTTTTTTCTGACTTCGGGATAGAGAACCTTCCTCATCCCTTTCCCTCCTTTCCTCAAAGTTGTATTTCAGTTCCTTCATTAATAGCCTATAAATCAGTGGTAGCAGAAACTCTGTGCAGTTTAGAATTATGTTTTTGATTCTCAGCAAATTAATCAATTTTCTAAGATCCATATGTTAGCAAATAGCAGCAACATTCTTTGCGCAGATATTCATTCTATCAAATAGATTTACTATTTGCCTTGGAGTGAACTCCTTAGGATCCAGTTGTCCTCTAAATGCACAGCAGAAACTCATCTACAAGGGTTTTCAGTTAAGAAAAGGGAATCTTCAAGTTGCCCTTGATTTCAAAGTAAATTCCCATGGGGAAAAACAATTTTAAAAAAAGTAAAATAAATAATTTCAAAATAATACAAGAATCACATGACACTTTTCTTTGTTATACTTCCTTCCCATATCCTGAAAAGCCAGCAATAGGAGGCATCCTTAAGATGCACAATTCTGTAAGCCCTGAGGAGAGCAGCTAAGGGTGCAAAGCAGTGGGTCTCCTCCAGTATAAGGCCCCTTTTCATTTCTGCCTCAAAATATGCTGGCCTTTTTCATATGGTGCTTTTGGATCCTTGATTCTGGGATCTGGAGCTAAATTGGGTAAGATTGGCCTTGCTGTGAGTTGCAGGAAAGCACTCAGTGCCAGATGCCAGGAATAAAGTCCCCTCAAAGCCAGACTTTGGAGGGAGTGGTGCATGGGAGATTTGGGGAGTGTCTGGAACTGAAAGGGAGCCTTAGAAACTGCTATGTAGGCATTATCTCTGAAATGACCATCTTTCCCCCACTAGAGTTTTTGAATGTCCAAGAGCAATCCAATGGAGCTGGGTCTTGCTAAGCTGGAGGCGGGGCAGAGGGCATTCCTAACACATCTAAAAATGGAATGAGCCTAAATTCTACCAGGACTAAGGTAGAATTAGCAAGGCTGGCCAACCCTAAGCAAGGCTGGCCAACTCAGAGTTCTTGAGAATTTTGCTTCCCCACCCTCCAAAGGGAGATAGCTACACATTGCTGTTCCATTCCTTTCTTTAGCTGCACCTACCTGAGGGAAGAACAGGGCCTGGCAGCCCCCTTTTCATCTCCCCACGACCACATTTGTACCAGTGAGGCAGATTTAAGTCTCCCTTCATTGCACAAGGGTAAAAACCGAGCTTCTCCCAGATTCTAGCATCAAATATTAGAGCCGCAAAGCTGCAAACGGTGTTGTCCTGAGGTCAGAGGTCTGCAGAGCCTGGAACTAGGGCCCACCATTAGGAAGAGCGTAACTTGCCAACAAAATTGACAATCACTTCAATGAAAATAGTCCCTCCAGCTTCCACTGGAGAGATCCATCCTGCCTATAAAAGGGAAAGGAGGGGAAAGACCAAGGCTCCCAGGCCATCAAAATCCCTGTGGAAGTGGAGTTTCCTTGTGGTTAAGACAGGAAAATTGGGGTGGAGGAGGAACAGCCACTCACCTTCCTTTGAGGAAAGTGTTTCCCAGATGGCTCAGTTCAAGTGATCTAGTTGACCGTCTCCAAAAGTAACCACTCCAAAAGCAGACTAACTTTGAACCACCTGGACTACCACCATCTGCTCCTTGGAGACAGAGATGTTGCCCTGTTGGATGGGCAGAATGCCCACTCTGGGATTGGCAATGGCCAAATGTTTCTGTGATACCTCTCTGAGGTCATGGCAGGAAGAGGAGAGGGGACGGCAGAAAAATTCCCCCAAAAGAACTGCTGCTCTCAACTAGCAAGGAGAGCTCACGCTTTAGTCGTCTACTCAACTAATGGGCAGGGAGAGGCAGGGGCCGACGACTCCGCATTGATAACCACGGGTACTACTGCCCCTCCATTCCCTGGCAGAAGGAGAGCATCAGAGAGATCCCGAGAATTCAGTAGCATCGTTTGTCTTGCAGATCAATTGAAACATGCAAGCAAATAGACTGACAATTAAACAGAAAACAAACATCATTGCAGGAATGGCTGGATGTGGCCTTGTAGGATGGCTGTGTGCTGGAAAACTCTTTTATGCTTTTTGCACTGCCAGGGATAGAGAAAAAAAGTGCACAGTGGAAGGCGATGAATTTCTCTGCCTCTTTGACCTGGCCGATTATTCTCAGAGTCAAAGAAAGGGACATCAAAAGGGATACACACTTTTTCTATTCGAACTGTAACTGTAACAGTAACAGAGTTGGAAGGGACCTTAGGGTCACCTAGTCCAACCCCCTGCCCACACAGGAGACCTGTACTGATTCATCAACTGATCTTGTGCAAACAAGTGAACACTTTCTAGTAGGAATGGTCAATGCGACCTTTTGCCCTGGTTTAATCCCACCATGTCAAAAGCAAGAGTCTCTGAGCACTTGCAGAGCGCTCTTCCAAACCCATTTCAGGATCAGTTCACAAAGTTGAGGATTGTGATTTTCAGAGCCCATAAAGGGAGGCTAAGCTAATGAAGCATCGGGTCACTTTAAATAAAAGCGATTTAGGCAGACCTTTTCCAACTCTTGTTCGTCAGACTCCTTGACCGGCGCGGGATTCTCCTTCCCTGTATAATACTTCTTTAAATTGGCTTGATTTAAAACAAAAACAAAAACGAGTTCACTCAACAGAATCGCTGGATTCTAACAGCAAGAGGACGTGAAATGATAGTGTAAAAGCTGTACTTTGATTCACGCAACCAGTGAGCAATTCGTCTTAACCCCAGGCAGGAAGGTCGACCGAACCCTAATAGAAGAGATTTCGGGTCAGCCTTCGGGTTTTATTTCTTATATCCCTCAAAACCTTTTAATCGGACCAGTTCGGAATTTCTTAATGCCTGTCGCTTTCTCTGCCTGCGCTTTGCTTCTGCTCCATCCTGGGCACTGAACAAACAATAAACAAACAAACAAACAAATAGGGCACCCCATTCCAATGCATTGACTTTTTCCTGGAGACTTCTGAGGAGCAGGCAGCAACCGCGCTGGCTTAGCCGCTGCGTTTGGCTACGGCTAAGTTAGGGTTTGGGTCGGTGTGTCGACAAGCTTATGGGTCATTGAGTGGTATAGGCGCAAAAAAAAAAAAAAATTAAAAAAAAATTCTGAAAATGTTCCACTAATTCCGGGGAGTTATTGGCAACTGTTAAATCATCTTCTCCGCAGGGACGCCCAGGGTGCTCGGGTAGGCTTTCTGCAGCCATCTCGCCACACCGTTGGGATAAAGAAGCCCCGAAAGCGCCCTGAGACCCTTTTCCAGAGCTTCAGGCCGGCCGTTTATTTCGGTCGCCCTTCATCTCTACATAAATCCGGCCAGCACAAGAGAGATTTCAAGCATCTGCCCTAAAGCTCTCCGCGCCAAAGCCCTGAGCTCGGTTGCATCAGGCCACAAAGAAACGGTTCCCCACTTGTGACCTTCGGGAACTGCTCTGGAAATGGGGGCACGAATTTCACCGCTAGACATTTCACCCAGCAG